CGGCGCTGGCGCCCCTGGTGGTGGCTGCCCTCTGCTTAACATCTATCTTCGCTATCTTTTTCCTTTCTCGCTCTCACTCCTTTCTTCACCAGTAAAGCTTGGAGCCTTCCCAACCGACACATAACCTCGCCTGTGTTTTCATCTCAACCGGGGTGATCATACCGAACTCCAAAGGCCCGGGCTCTTCTGGATCCTTGCACCGCCACAGGCAGAGACCTGCTCACTGGTAGCATGGCTGGAAAACACCGGAACCAGGCGACAGAGTGAGAACAGAACCATCAAAGTACAATGTCCAAAATACACCAGAGTGATGTTTTCAAATGGGAATACCATCGTTGTTTTAAATTATGATGGATGGTTATTATTCTAATTCAGCTTCCTCTTTGAAAGACCTTCCGCAGCTTCTAAGCCAGCCTGTGCAGCACTCTGAGTAAACGCTGAACTGGCTGGAGGATGAATATTCCACTGCTAGCCTTCAGAGCCAATCACCTCCCTAAATTACCCCTTTATTTTTCATTGAAAAAAAAAAAAAAAAATCTGTTCGTTGCAGGAAAACAGCTCTATGTTTCAACTTGCTTAGTATCCAGCCCAATGGAAAACCTGCCCTGAGACCTCTGGGTATTAACTGAAATCTTAAAATAGCATTATTATAAATACTCCCAAATATTTTTGTTTTTACTTATTATCATTGTATTTTCAAACTACCTAACTACAACGCTGTTTTGCCAATGAAAGGCAGCCCTAATGCACTTAAGACAATACTGACAGCTGAGAATACAACAGCCGCTTGCGTAGAGCGGGTTCCCCTCTATAGACTACAGTGAAGTGGACTATTATTGTATTTACACCATTTTAATTTATCTTGAGCATAAGAGAGAGAAAAAAAGAGTGATAATTTCAAATGTCAGCACTGTCTGCAAAGAACTCTATAGAAGCACAAAAATGAAGGGCGTTTTGCCTTTTATATTTTGAACAGTAATACAAAAAATGCAACATTAGTTCAAAAGTCAGGTAAGGTCTGTGTGGACAACTACGATTATTTTATTGGACATATTTTACTGAGCATTGAACACTTGTTTATGTAGGCACAGATTTAAGAATAACACCACAAAATTAAAAGGATAAAGTGCAGACCTGTACTGAGAAGCAGGCCTGGTAAGTCAAGTCTACTGCTACAACTTGGCAAAGAAAAGAAAGAAAAGGGGAAAAAAACTGCCATTATAAAAAACAAGTATATTATAAATTATGTCCTGCGATAAGAGAGCTATACAACCTTTCTTGCAAGGTCCAGAGCACTGGAAAACCCAGGTCCCCTGTGTGAAAGCACACAGTGTCTGTCGCAGGAAATATTTTAAGTTAGACTTTGGCTTACACAAGTGGTTTATTTATAAGAAAACGTAACAAAAGTGTACTGATTAAAACAGTTCTCTTAACATCATTTCTCTATATATTTCAGAATAAAAAATTATGCACTTAAAAACAGGTAAAAACCTCCCCCCAACACAGTAAAAGTTTCAGCAAACAGCGACTGAAAAAGAGTGAAAGGGGGGAAGCCAGTGTGAGTCATGACTTTAAGCGATGGTCTTCGCCAGATCCTGCTTCCATCAGAACTTTCTCTCTAAGAAGATTCATGAGATAAAATGATAAATTTAACACGTTCTTGTCCTTCCCCATCTCATAAGGGCAGTTTTCTACAGTTCTTAGTAACAGAAAAAAATAATATATATTTCCAGAGCTTGCACACATCCGAAAAAAAAGGCAGAAAATGAGAGGGAGAATAAAAACTAATATAAGCTAAAACATTATTTTGTAGTAAACAATAGAATATAACGTGCAATAGTGCAATTTCTCCTTTGCTGCTCCAACAATGAAGTCTTGGTAGATAGTCCACTGCATGTCAACGTACAGCATCCCACATCTAACTACGTGCTTGTCGGGCACTGCTGGGTTTGCCAGGCTTTGGAGCCGAGTCGCTGTGTCCAGGCTCTCCCTTCCCCTTCCCAATGTGGCGGAGTTTCTGATCCCAGCGCTGCATTTTGAAAGGCAAAGAAAGTACAATAGAGGTTACAGAAGAAGAAATAAGTCATATGTAAAACAACTGCACGTGTTTAGAAACAGCAGCAAAAAAAATAAAAAATCGCTGCTGGTTCCACCACGTTACCCTATGTTGGGCTTAAATGGTGGAATGTGAGGGTATCGGTAAGTCACTTTAAATAGAGAAGCTGTTTCCTGGCTTTCTTGTAGCCTCTGTGAATGAAGGGGCTGACACAAGGCATAATGGCTTCAGCATAAAAGCGTCTCACCTTCTAAATACTAACATTTAAATGAAGCTATTTGTGCAGTCTTTGGGGGAAGCAGGATGAAAAAACAGCCAAGTAATTTCTATAATTTTTTTTTTTTTTTTTTTTTTTTTTTTTTTTTACTTTTGAGGGTAATAGCAACCGCAGTACTTAATAAATATAGTTGGTACAACTGATGATGCTTTTGGAAAGGAGATTACGATGAGAAGCGAGTGGTGACCCGGTGTGGTCCTCAGCACCCCCGCGCTGGGCGCGAGGGCAGAGCCAGTAGGTTGCAGGCCACAAGGAAATAAGTGAGAAAGTAAGTGAGTTCCCCCAAAAAAACCCAACAAATGACATGGCCACCCAAGAACTGGGACTGAGCAGAAGTCAGCCCGTGGCGGTAACGTGGTATTTGCTCTGCAGCACTGGATTTCATAAGGTTCTGCTAAATCAAAAAACAGCCTGGAATAACATCATGTAATCTCTGTGGATGTGACAAACGTGCACAGAAAATCTTGCACTTGTAATCAGAACACTTTTCCTGCCAGTCACCATTAACGCCGTTGAAGAAAGTGTTGAGTGCAAGAGGACACTGGTTTGCATAGGCACAACCATTATGTCAAAGCAACAGCTGAGAAATTGTGTCCAAGTAAGAATATTCTGTGTAAAATGACACTCCTAACAAAGTCAAAATCGCTGATACTTTGTGGTGCATTAAAACATAAAAAGGCAATCTTTCCAGAACTTGGAATGCATTAGAATACATTTAAATTAGAAAACATTGGAATATATTTTCATATATTGCTTGCATTTGAGCTCATTGCTACCATTTTGCTATGACATGACTTCCTTATCATATACCTCCTTCATTTAAACCAGGAAGGTACATTTAAAATAATGACTCATCCACACAATTTGGTAAAAGAACTGTATTTAAAGGATATTAAATCCGAAAAGTGTAATTCTGACTTAGTCTGGAAAACATTTGTAAAGTCCTCCTTTTTTTTTTTTTTTGTAATTAACTTCACAATTACAGTTAAGTAGGTGTGTGTTGTAGAATGCACAGTTTGCGTACAGAGTTAAAACACTTCTACTGTTTGCTTTTTTTGAGACAGAGGTTTTGATTGCTGCTACACTGGTGTATTTTGGTGTAATTCAACATCCATTTTATTCATCGTGCATTTCTAAGTAATATAACAAATAACACACAGTTAATTTTTGATACCCAATATTAATTAACTGAGGTCAGCACATGTATTTTCTTCCCTTATTTTGAAAAGATTAGGTAGATGTTTCATGGTCTACTACATTTGACTTTTGGTGAGGTATTTTCATACCTTTACTTTTTTACCGAGACGATCCTTCCATTTCTCAGCTATGGAGCCTTCCACCAGAAGTAACCTAAACAACAGAGACAACCAGTTACTCCATCAACAGGCATCCACAAGCTATACAACCCAACACATGCAAGACTAAGATCTCTGTGCCTGCAGAGAGCCTTGTCCCCCCTCAATATCATTAAAGAGATGTACAGAGAGTCACACCAAGTTCTCCTTTCCTGATGGCTCTGAAGTTCAGCTTTACAGGCAGCGGAACAACCAACAACAAATATCCTCCAAGGACAATGCAGAAAGAGCTACCTGGAGCGCTCCTCGTCTTCATAGCCCATAATGATGTACTCTTCGTTGGCGTTGAGCGGTGGGCATAGGCAGCCGGAGTTTGTGTGAAGGTTTACAGTGTCCTTTGGGATGTTGACCAGGGAAGATTTTAGGATCTCTTTTACTTCCACTACTGCAGTGATGTCGTGACATTTAGTCTTCACCTCCTTCACTTTAGCCCGAATGACTGGGAAAAAGTCACAAGGAGTATAGTTAGCAGCAGCAGATAATGCAGGTCACCCCCAAGCCATTCTTGGTGACCTCTGGGATTAGTCTTTTGCGTGGTCCATTATCAAAAGCAGCTTAGCTGAACTCCAGCAATGTCTCTGCCCCCATCTCTTCACTTCATTACTTCATCCTCCCCCAAGAGGGTCCAAGTAGCTCAGTATCTGCCATAATAGTATGGTCACGAGCAAGACTTACGTACCAGTTGGATTTATGTCCTGTTTAAGCTGGACTTTAGCATCCCTTCTTCTTCGTCCTTTTCCCTTTAAACATATTTAATTCATTCATTGTAATTCGTCCTTCTCTCTCGAGCTGTAACTGCTCCCCTTTTGACTACTTGCAGCACAGATGATAGAACTTAATTTGTCACTCTCAAAACTTCGCGAAGTGTGTGCATTAAAACTTCTCGTATCACTACTTCTGCTGGATGACAGGCCCTTACCTTTTTTATTGTCTCTCCAATGACCCAGCACCAGTCTGGCTCTGCTCTTTATGAACTCCAAGCGCTCCTGATCTTGGCCTGATGACCCATCTAATTGTTTCCTCCCTCACCTTTTCTTTTTGCCTTAAGTTGCATAGGAGGAAAAGTTGCCTTTCAAAGGCAATGCTTTTTGTTTCTCTGATGGTGACCAGTGAACTGATACCACATGCAAATGCAAAGCCAATCCAGAGGTCATGCTCTGTAGAATGCCACATCTTTCAAAGCTTGCAAACAAGCATGCTTTTCCATTACAAATGGCAGATTCACCAAATTCCCAGTTTCTTCTAACCTATGTGAAAAAGGTAACATGGAAGAAAGAAAACCATGGACTTTCATCTCTCTTCTCTTCATATGCATTGCCCTTAAAGACCATCAGCCAGCAGGTATTGCAGCCACATTCAATAGAGCTACCAACAATTAATAACTTGTGCATTTACTATACACAATTTACCCCAAGTGATCCACTTTCTGAAGAACTTTTAAGATTTCAAAATAAAATCTTGCTTTAGTTTGGAGTTACTTCAAATGCATTTTGAAACTTCTTTAATTTCAAAAGCTTGAAAAGATGGGCAGTAGCGTACTCTGAGACTCTTGGATGTGCAGGTACCCACTAGAGAATAATCACTCTGTAATTATTTTCCAAACAAATCCACCAAATCAACATAAAACTGACTAGTCACCTAAAAAGTAACAATGACGTTTGACTACAATTATGATTTTTTTAGCTTTTAATAGGATATATTTTTAAAAGAAGCTTATCTGACAATAGTTGTATAAACGCATTATCTTAATAAATACTATGCAATCACTACCATTTAAATGAAGTTTTTAAGTTCACTGTGCCTAGGGTTATTCACACAATTTATGGGAAAAAGGATGGGCCCAATTGTTCAGTTCCTGTGATATGTATTCATTGGTTTCATCAACCTAATTTGCTTAAAACAAACAGTATGAAGAAAAGTAGCAGCCTGGACCTGTGATATACGTGAAGACCAGGACAGTCTGGACAAGAGAGACATAGTACAGTCACTGTACACTTTTACAGGTATTACTGACAGCATAACACAGCTGGCAAGATGCTCATTGCTGGCTTCGATACGCAAGAAGGAAAGAACCTAGTATGGCTGCTACATCCCATGGCGAGTTTGTAGGCATGAAAGTTAATAAAAACATCCTTTCCTGCAAAAGCAGAGCATATTGGAGCTGGAAATAAAAGCAGCAGTTCAGGCATAGCAGCCCACGATGTCATTTTTGTTACATTGCTTTTCACACTGAAGAAGTGCACGAACCCCAAATGCCTGGGCTGACACTGAAATAACACTCAAGATCA